CTGTGTACAGTTTCTGTCCAGCCTCTTCTCTGCTTGGCTTTGGTGAAGCAAAAAACCTCTATGTGGGGAAGACACCATCTCCAGACAAGAGCACCTTCCGAGAACAGGATGATTCTGTTTCTCTCATAGATTCTGTTTGCCACAGTAAGGTAGAAAATATTCATCTGTCTCCATCTGTAATCAGGGTGACAGATGATGAGTAGGTGACAGCCATAAAAAAAGAATCAAGCTATGTTATGTACATGTACTTCCTCCTGAAGGTGATTCTAAAATACATATGCATTGTAAACTTCATGCGTGGATGGAGAAATTTGTAGGAGAATAATCAAGTACATTTCTGATTTGATCTATGGAGATTGTCCTGAGAAGATTCGCATAAAGGCCAGGGAGTGGAGAAGTAGACAGGAAGATGCACCCTGACTACGGTGCACTCCATAACAACAGTACTGTAATCCAGATATTTTTAAAAGGGAAGACACGAAGACATTGACTTGCATTTGCAAACCTTCATGCTCCTCTTTCGATTGCTTCCTTTGGTACAATGATCCTCTGATTATCAAACAATAGTTGCCTCAGCCTTTCCACCTGGATCACCCCAGTCCCTCTTTATGCAACTCCAGGCCTTCAGTTGTGAACTGGGGCTGCATTCTTGATCATTGTTCTTCTCTGGCTTCAAGCTTCTTGAACACAGCCACTCTGGATCCTCAGGTTCTGCATTATGAATGCATCCATTGTGAATTATCCTATTTCTGACACTATAACCTTAATAACCTCCCTCTCATAATCATATAGTAAAATACAACAGAATAGCATTATATAGATAATATGCATAGTATGGTATTCATATTTTTTTTTCCTGAAAAACCTGATCAATACAGAATTTGGCTTAACGCGTGATTCTACCAGAATGACTTACTGTTAATCCTTCTTCCTTCCTCCCAGAGAGACTTATGATCTTTTCTCAAAGTAAGGATACACTGGGACAGAAAATGATGAGAGGTTTTGCAGAATAATGAACACTAATTATAAACTAACACTGATTTCAGGAAAATTAAAACATTCTTATGTCCCCCTCCCCCAATAGAAGAAAGTGTCTGTGGAGGTTGGTAATGCGTGGAGTGTTAGATCATGACTGACTCACAGTGGAAATAACATGTCTCCAACTGATACTGTAGCTATTTCCCCAGATACTGAATGTGCAACTGGCATAGATATGCTTAATAATTGGTAGAATCCTTACACTGATTCACTAATCTTTGGAATTAGAAAGATTATGGAGAATGGCCAGATGGAAACTCCCTCTATAGGACAAAACTACATAAAGATGTTACCACACCCTTGAAGGATGGCAACAATGGGTGCAACAGTTTTTATCTCCATGCTGGGCATCTGCACAGTCTCCTTATTGTTGGTTCTATCTTTATCACTGCTCTTAGGATCAAGATGGAGTAGTTCTGCCGTGCACCTTCCTGTTACATTTCCTTTATCCATTCATCCACGCATGGCCACTTAAGTAGATTATTATCCTAGGAATTGTGAATGCTACATGAAACATGGGAGTGTATTTACCATGTCACCATACTGATTTAACTTCATTTAGATATATACTTAGCAGGTTTGATAGTCTATATGGTAGTGATATGTTTAATTTCTTCAGGAGCATGAGGCAGGAGGGAGGGAGATGCCTGAAGAAATTCCATGTGAGTACATATTATTACTATGTATATGTATTTTAGACAAATATGTTTATGAAAGCACACTCACAGATGTATATTTTTGGATCGATTTCAATTGGGGAAAATACACAGGCTTCACTGAGTTTTCATGAATCTTCAGACACCAAAGTTTCTCCCTGGACCCTCTGGGAACCTGCTCTTGTGGCTGCTGGGGAAGGATTCTCCAAAGCACTCAAACTGTCTCTGTGCAGAGATAACCACAGAAACTTCTAATTGTTTCTGGGAATTTGGCTCTGGAGAGAACTTGCTTGCTTCTTTAGTTATGTCTTACAGTAATCTCTAATGGATGAACATGCACTGTCATGACGATTACAAGTGAAGTGGTAATTGTGTTTCAGGGGGAGTTGAGATCACACAACCATGACCCATATCTTGGGGCCTGGCCACCTCCCTTTGCCGGAAGAAGGAGATTTCATGACTCACCTCAGACTGCTGCTTGTGAAGCTGGTAGGTGCTGGTGAGTATTTACTTGCTGCTCTAGTCCGTGAAATAGAGGCTGTGAGAGAACAAGTTGATTCAGGGTCTGTGTCTGCGAGTTGTCCTGGCTGGAAAAGTGATTCATCTGGGGTGACAGAGACACACAGGGAGGGGGGATGGTTCCCGAGGCCCAGACTGAGCTGTGGACCGAGACCGGAGCTCTGAGGCCCCTCAGCAGCCTCTAACTGCTCCCCCTGTGCATTCATATAATCAGCAGCAAAGACGGTTGTGACAGTTGCTCCAAGCAGTAATGTCATGTCATTTAGAAGATCGCTGATTCTAATCCAGAAATCAGCCTGCTGTTCAGAGCACAGTGTAGAAATCACAGAGACACTGACATCACTTGCATCACTGCTTCAGTAGAAGTCCTCATTTGTGAGAATGAGTGTGCTGGAGAAAGCTGAACCAGCATTTTCCTGCATAAGGAATGTGTTCAGATGACAATTTCTGTTTTATAATGAGTTTTCTTTCACTGCGGTTGTGGTAATGAATGGAGATATCAAAATCTTTCTGAAAATATTTGTAGTCTGTTGACCATGTTGGTCAATGTTTTTGTCGTTTGGGAAGATATCAATACGTAATACAACAAGCATTGTTAATTTCCTACCACTTTGCTTGTAACTCTGTATTGTCTGTACTGTTCTTTTGCTATTTTGTAAAAGATTGTCTGTTAGTGTTTTCCTCCTTTTATTTTTAAAATTAAAAAACCAAAATAACAAAAAAGGTTAACATCATAGTTGAGTGAGTTAAACTGCAGAGAAATTAAGAAGGGCAAGTTGTTTCTGATTCACATGTGTCTCGCTACCTTTGTCAGGTATAAAAACTGTAATGCATTTGGTGAGTCCATGTCATTATGGGCCATCACCATGCGTGTGCTGTGAAGACTCAATATTTCTTTTGTCATATAGATCGCACATCATCATAATTTTCCAAAGACATTTGAATACTCCATTTTCTAAATTCAGAAAAAAATAGAAAGTTACCTAATGAGCGTTAATTCACTTTCTACGACTTCATATCTACAGTATTACTTTAGAGAATAACAATATTATATATAATTTCTCTTAAGTATTATTGGCAAAATTTCTGTGCTATCATAGCATTGATCCATGTTTATTAAACCAAATAGGTTATAAGAGATTACTTAGTCCATCATTAATTTTAAGGGCTTGTGAATATTCTCTTAGGAGTGATTCTGTGTTATAAATAATACATTCAGACAAAATAGGGAAGAGCACAGTCCAACATTTGCATAAGGATATTTCAAATATGACAAATTATATATACGGATTTAAAGACACCAACACTCTGATTCTTTGATAACACAGGACAGAAATAAGCACAATATCAATGAAGCCTTGGCGACACATCCAAATATCTTCTTGGCATTTAGATGAGTTGTATACCTTCTCTTTATTAAACATGCTTTTTCTTAAAGTCAGATATTACTAGGTTTTAACATATCATTTTGTAGCCCTAAATACATTAGAATTGCTAAGTCCAAAATCACTGTTATCCATACATTTAAAATGCTATCTAATGAATAGGAGCCTTTAAGTTTCAAAGACTGTTAAGAACATAAAATATATAGTGGAAAGAAAATTTTAAGAAATATAAATGTGCAAAATTTTTAATACATTTTATATGAAATCTATTCCTTACAACTTATATTTTTGTACAGAATCTTACAGTTGAAATGTTATAAATCCTGCACAATTGAAGAATGACATCTTTGGATCTAAAATTTGTAATCCTCTTCCTTTTCCCAGTTGTCACTGGAAGCCTGGGAAATGTCTCACTCTTATGTCGTTTTATCTTCCTTTACTTCAGTGGATGTCAGTCCAGGGTCACAGATGTGATTCTCAGGCACCTGACTGTGGCCAACTCCTTGTATATTCTCTCCAGAGGAATCCCAGAGACCATGGCAGCTCTTGGGATGGAAGACTTCCTCAATAATATTGGATGCAAGCTGGTTTTCTATCTTCAAGCAGTAGGAAGGGGTGTGTCTTTCAGCACCACCTGCCTGCTGAGTGTCTTCCAGGCCATCACCATCAGCCCCAGGAGCTCCAGGTGGGCAGAGCTGAAAGTGAAAGCCCTAAAGTGCATTGGTCCCTGTCCCGCCATTTGCTGGGTCCTGCACATGCTGCTAAACATCAGAGTTCCCATGCATGTGAGTGACAAAAGGAACAACAAAAACATCACAAACACTATAGATTTTCAGTACTGTTCAGCTATGAATTCTGCCAAAGTTGAAAACTCCATTTTTGCAGCACTGTCATTATCACACAACATTTTGTGTTTGAAACTTATGATCTGGAGCAGTGGCTCCATGGTTTTCATTCTGTACAGGCACAAGCAGCAAACTCAGCACATTCACAGACACATCTCATCAAGATCTTCCGCTGAGACCAGAGCTTCTCAAAGCATCCTCCTCCTGGTCTGTACCTTTGTGTCTGTCTATGCCCTGTCTTCTATCATGTATGTCTGGTTTACTCTTTATGACAAAACTGCTTGGTGGCTGGTTAAAACCTCTGCCTTAACCAATGCTTGTTTCCCTGTTGCTAGTCCCTTCATTCTCATGACTCGTGAGCAGATTGTGTGCAGGCCCCTGTGGAGGAAGTGAGCACACATTTCACTTCATCAGACATGTGAATCAGTCTACTTTTCATGTCTTCAGTACCGCACGCACTCATCTTTCACAGAGCCCAAAACTCAAAGAGGAGCCATCTTACTGTAGAGGTGGGTGTAAATACGATAGCTAAAGACATTTTTATGAACAGTAGTAATTGAGTGCAATTCTAAAAGGAAATAATTTTAGCATTTATGGTTAATGTAATTTTATTTTACAATTGAATTTTTTCCCCTCCTTATACAGTGCTTTTCTTTATGCCTGTCCATCTGTCTCTTTTCTTTCTTGGTGTCCATTCTTTTCTGTTTTTTTTTTTATTTTAAAAATAAAAGGAGGAAAACATTAACAGACAGGCAACATTTTACAACATAGCAAAAGAACAGTACAGACAGTATGGAGTTACAAACAAAGTGGTAGGGAATTAACAATGGTTGTTATATTACATACTGATATCTTCAAAGTGGCTTCTCATGAAAACAGATATAGAAATGCAATACTGATCAATCAAGGACTCATTGACAGTTTCTTTCAGCAGAGAAATAGAAGACAGAAGAACAACCATGTTAACTATCCTGTAGATACATACATACAAAATTTCTCCTTCTTTCCCTTCTCTTTTCCCACATCCCAGTTTCTGTTTTTCTATGTGGAATATTTTTATTTATCAGTCTCAATTGATTATATATTTTAATTTATTTCTGTAAATATCTATATATTTACTCTATAAATAAGTGAGTTTTAATTCTTTTATTATTTCCTAATGTTACAGTTTTGTGTTTCTGTCATTTATTTCTGTATGTCAAATCCAGGTTTGCATTTTATACTACAAGTACAATCTTATGACTATTTTATTTAAATAACTGTTTCAAAAATTCATTATTATTTATAACAGTTATCTACAATTATTATTTTTTAAAAAGATCTTGTTTTAATGTAAAAATTTTGTCCACCACTTTGAGACGTTGCTGAATGATAATCCCCTGGCTGGGCCCATGGAAAGTCTTGGTTTCAAGCTTCAGCACTGCAAAACAAAATTATTATGAGACAAATACAAGAGCTCAGGAATATAATTGTTAGCTATTGAGCTATTTTACTATGGCATGAGTGACATTCAAAAATCTGAATAATTTAATGTGCATAACTGGTTGTACTTGGAAAAAAGAACACGAGTCACCATTATGAAAATCAGTGCCATTTGATTTGGAAACTATTTGTAATACTGCCCATTTTAATAGAAGCCCTCCATTGACACTTGTGGACAGAAGAGAGCTGCAGTAAATCTTTATTTTGATAACAAATGTTTCCTGTGGAGTGTGTATTTACTTTGATTTCACATTTCCATTCAATGGAGACCTCCCAGTTTTGTGATGTGTGTTACTGAAGATCGTTGCATATTCAGAACCTTCAGATATTGCAAATCTGCTCCTTCCACGTCTGCTCCTTCCTTTCTCCCTTGTTATGAAGATCCCATCCGACTGTGTAATTACCACATGGTTGGTACTGAAGCGCCTTTCAAACACCAAAATCAATGCCAAAAGTTACCCAGCACCTCCAATAGATCCTTCTTGATCTGTGCTCACCTTTTTCCTTGACTTCTCTACGTACTATAATAACAGCACATAAGATCTACCATCAAGGCAAACTCTCACTTGCACAATGTGGTGTTTCTAGCCATCTCCCATACAAGATTCCTAAGGGATTTTATTTGATCTCTTTCTTGTTGTCAGTCAGTAAGTCTTGTTTTCTCTCACCTGCCATCTCCTGGAGACCAGTATTTTTTCCTTTTCTATGGCTTTGATTATTGTATATTATACATCCATGTGAAGTCACACAGCATTGTTATAAAATTTCTGTGCCTGCTTTATTTTGTTTAGTGTAATTCCTTTGAATTATGTTATGTCTCTGTCTGTCACCGGGTTTGCCTGCCTTTTAGGCTGGCTCTTAGTCAGCTATACATGTAGGACACATTTTCCTTATGATCCTCCTTCACTGAACACTTAGATGGCATTTTTGTGTTACTTATTATGAATTATGTTGTAATGGTATTAGAATAAAAGTATCTCTTTGAGATCCAAATTTTCATTCCTTTTGATATACACCAAGTGCCTGGGTTGCAGGATCAAATGGCTGCACCATTTTTTAATTTGGGAGAAAATGCTCTACTTTTCCATAGCAGCAGCACCGATGGAAATACCTCAAATACCACACGAGTGCTGTCTGCTGCAGACCGCTGGCTCCTCTGTGTTTCTGTGCTGACCCTTTGTGTTCTGGGAATTGTCCTTTTTCCTCTGCATGTGCCTGGCGAAGAGAGGAACAAAAGCTTCACAA